GTATGTATGTTCCAAGTATAGGTTTTGCATAAGCATGATCAAGTGTTCTAGGATTCCCATTCTTCTCAGAGTCAGCCACAGTTTATTGTGATCCACACAGTCAAATGCCTTTGCATAGTCAATGAAACACAGAGAGACATTCCTCTGAGATTCCCTTCTTTCAGCCAAGATTCATCTAACGTTAGCTACAATATCCCTAGTATCATGGCCTCTTCTAAACCCAGTGTGTACATCTGGCAGTTCTCTGTTGATGTGCTATTCCAGCTGTTTTTGGATAAGTTTCAGCAGAATCTTGTTTGCTTGTGATATTGATATTGTTGGCTAATTTTGTGGAAGAAAAGGCAATACCATTACAGGTTAAGTATTTCCATATGTTTAAGATTTATAATTCAAAATGTCTTTCTTGGCTAACGATAAACTGTTTATTTTGTGTAGATGTATTTATTGTATTATAAAGAAGATAAGGATGGGACACAAGGCCCACCCTACTAGAGGCTTATGGAACCTTAATGCTCATTCTCTTTTGGAGATTCTTGCCTTCAACAGATAATCTACACTTATCAGTCTCTGCAAAACCGCCCTGCATACCCACAGTCACCTGAGGCATTCCCCTGACAGGTCTCAATGTCCGGGAGACCTTACAGTGAACCACCAAACCCAAGGGACATTATCAGAGCTGGAGAAATGAACAAAGGAGGAACTGTCGATGTCAGAGATTATGGAGTCATACAGTAAATCAAGCAGTTGGGACAATGCTGATTTGACATTTCTTAGAACTGGTCTGCTACTAATTTTAGCAGAATGAATTATGAATATAGTATGTACAACTTGACCAAGGTAAATGATGACACTAAGAAGCACACAAAAAAAGAAATACTGTGGTAAAATCTGTAACATAACAATTTTGCAACAACAAAAACATAAAAGAAATGTGTAGTTACAAATGTGTCTTGTTGCTGCCAAACTGGAGCCAATCCATAACTGACCCTCCATTGGTTTTCCAAGGCTGTAAATCACACTGGAGGAGACTGTCAATCTTTCTCGATTCTAGAGGATTCTAATAGTCAGAAAGGTACCGCCTTCCAGTTAGCAGTGTAACTCCTTACAGACTACGTCACCATAGTTCCCTTTTATGTGTGTACAGCATATATATATATATATATATATTCATGTACATAATAAAGCACACAGCACAATTATGGGATACTTCCCAGACATAACCTGATACTTCCTGGTAGTGGTTTGCCAGATGTAAAAGTTTAGGGCCATAGTCGGCTAAGCCAACTCTATTAACTGGCCTAATTACGTATGTATGTATGTATGTATGTATGTATGTATGTGTATGTATGTATGTATATATATATATATGGCTTAGGGGTATGGGGTGGGGTGTGTGTGGCAGCTAGGGGGAGATCTAAGTAACAAAAACTGAATGACAAGAGCAGAAATAATGAGAAGGCTGACACACTGTAAAAAATGTAAGCCATGTCACTGAACATTATGTACAGGAATAGGAAAAGGAAACTTCTTTGTTGTCAAAGGCTTTACCAAATCAGAATCAAATATTACAGTGAAATACTGATCTTTTCCTGTTTCTTCACATCTTGTGATTTTTTTTTTGTTGTTGAAAGCTGCACACTTAAATACTCTAAAGTGAATAGTTAGGATTTTAGCTTCTTGAAATCTAGACACTTAAGAAGTTATACTAGATAGTAGCATATTATCTCTTTCTAGGTTTTGTACCTGACAATATAACAACAACATAACTGGAAAATAGTTAAAATTAAGGTTTCTATCATTTTTTCTCACTCTAGTACCCTGGGGGCTTAGTGGTAAGGAACTGCGCTGACAACCCAAAAGCACGTGGTTCAAATCCACCAGTGGATTGTAGGGAGAAAGATGGGCAGTCTCTTCTCAGGTAATTTACCACCTCTGACAATCCACTGGATGGTCAGCAATGAGCTGGTTCCAACTAAATGGTATACAACAACACACTTTTTTCCTGCTCTATCATCCAGGAGATGATCCTACCATTAGATAAAAACATCTGGCACCACACCCCTGTCCCTCTGCCACATTAGAAAAGAAGACATACACAACACTCTTGTTCAGTAGAAATTTCTGTTCAAGTGGAACTAAAGGCCAAAGTAAAATAATCTGTTTTTATGCAAAGTTAAAATTTATATCAGTATTGTATGGGCTGTTGAGTTGACTACAACTTATAGTGATGACTCTATGAACAGACCAGAATCTTGCCTTACTGTGCACAAACCTCATGCTATCTGACATCCTCAAACTCAGTCACTGTGCTAATCCATTTTGTTAAGCATCATCCTCTCTTTCTCTGAAACTACACTTTTCCCAGCATGATGTCTTTTTCCAGGTACTGGTCCCTCCTGACAACATGCCCAAAGTGTGTGAGCCTGTTTCACATATCATCTCTAAGGAGCAAATGGTTGTACTTCCCCTCCAACAGAAACTTGTTTGTTCTTCTGGCAGTTCATGGGATGTCTAATACTCTTCATGAACACCAAAATTCAAAGACACCAATTCTTCAGTCACCCTTATTCACTGTCCAACTTTATTTTTTTTATGTTTTAATTTTTATTCCCATATCATGCCTAAGTCTCTATTACATGGCCTTTCCTAATTGTGGAAACATAAAAGATTTTTTTTTCCTCTCAAGGTTTCTAGACATTTTAAAAGGGACTAACACTGGTGGCCTAGTGGCAAGAAGCTGTGCTGAAATCCCTAAGGCACATGGTTAGAATCCACCAGCTGCTCTGAGGCAAAAAGATGGGCAGTCTCCTTTTGAGTGATTAACTGCTTTGGCAGGTCAGCTATGAGCTGGATCGAACTCAATGGTACACAACACTACCACCACCACTGTGTGACTGTCCAACTTTAAGATGCACAGGAAGCAACTGAAAATACAATGGCTTGGATCAAGTGCACCTTTTTCTTCAAAGTGACTTTGCTTCCTTTTAGCACTTTGGAGAGGTCACTGATCTTTGATGATAAAATGTCACAGAAACACACATTCATCAGGATACCATTCTCACTCCCCCCAGCCATACAAATATATTCCCTTTACCCTATAAAAACAGAACCTCTTCTAGAATATGCTATCAACCTGCCTGCCATAAATTTGGTGGCCAAGTTATGGGAGACTCTCAAATAAAAGCATCTTTGCAATCACTCACTGTTAATGATAAGTTGGAACCAATTTTCAGATGACTTTTCAGTAAGTTTATGGATATTATAAATTGCACAGGGGAAGATGGCAAGAAGTGGCTTCTAGCACGGCCTGAACCAAAGTCATAGGCCCAATGCCCTATGTATATGATGGGAGATAGTTAAGGGTGGAGAAGTGAATGATATATAGAGACGTTTTAAGAAAATCTTTTATTAAAAAAAAAAGGAAGGGTTATATGTTGAAGTTTGTTTATTTGAATATATTTAATAAATACTGAATGTTTCTTCTGTGTCACTCACTCACTCACTGCCTCTGAATACAAACCAACTCATAATTGACCGTCCAGCAGATTTTCCTGAGCCTAAGATTGTAGATGAGGTGGACTGACTCAGTGACTGGAGTAATGGAGGTAGGTGTACTAGAGACAATTTCACTGTCTCAAGATAGAGTAGTGTTCAGAGCTGCTATACAAAGGGTCACTATGAGTCTGGATGGCACATAACCACCACATGAACTGCACGGTGCAGGACTACCCATTTCTCCCCCTCAGAGCCATTAGAGGATGTGAACTGCTGGAAAAGCTGTGGGTTTGCAGCACAACTTCCTATGCACTGTGCCACTATAGCTCTATTTTTTGTTATGTTGTTGTTAAGTGCCACTGAGTTAAATACGACCCATAGTAATTCTACAATGAACAGATCTGAACCCTGTTCCCTGTGTCATCCTCATAATCTCTGGCATATCTGGTGCACTGATGTAGTCAGTATGTCAATCCATCTGGGAAGGTCTTCCTCTCTTTCAATGACCCTCCAACTTTCCAAGCCTGTTTCTCGCCAAGTAACAGTCTCTCTGACCAACATGTCCAAAGAATGTGAGATGAAGTTTTATCACTTTTGCCTCCAGGAAGCACTCTGGCTGCACCATTTCCAAGACATCTTTGTTCTTTTGGCATTCCACAGGATATTCATTAAGACTATTCTCCAACACCAGAGCTCAAAAGCATCAAGTCTTCTGTCATCCTTATTCAACTCTCAAGCTTTCAGATGCATAGTAAGTTACTATGGCCTGAATCAGATGCACCTTAGTCTTCAAACTGACATCACTGCTCCTCAATAATTTGGAGGTCCCTGGCTGTAGACTTTTCTAGAAAGCTCTAATTATTCAAAATGTCAGTAGTCAAAATCTGGTGACTTTCACATATACTCATTCATGTTAGAGCTTTGTAAATATCTCCTTCTAATCATTACTAGATAAACTCTATACTAGGAATTTCCACTATTCATATCTCAGTCCAGCTATCTATAGAACTCCCTTCTGAACATCTTTCGGAAAATAAATCATCCAACTTTTCTTCTATAATGCTTCAAACCAGATAAGAGAACTAAACAGAGGTTTAGTTTTGCACTTCCCTTTTGGAGGAGGTAGCTCTATAGGGAAGATGATGGGAAATCTCTTCCTGCGCAATTTATAGCCTCTGAAAATCCACTGGAAGATCAGCTATGAGTTGGCTCCAACATGACAGCAATGAGTCATAACTGAGTTCTGGAATAGGCAGAGATTATAGAGGGGAAATGCAGCAGCATATCAGTTTTTAACAGAAGGTCCCAGAGGTCAGACATTTTTTGCCTACTCCTCCCCCTGCCAAAGTAGTCTAAGCACCCAGAAAAGGTCCTAGCACCACAGATGCTCCATAAACATTTGATGACTGAATTATATGAATGTATTTTCAGCGTAGGTATCAGAGTTGTATTAAAATCTACTGAAGTTATTATTAACACACACACAAAGCTTGCTGTAAGAGTACCTTTCCCTGAGATATAAGAATTCCTCGAAGTGTGTCAAACCCAACTGAAGGTCCAAGTCCAGTGTCATGGAGACATCCATCAAGGTCGAACATGGGGATGCATGGACAGAAGAGCTCTGAGATGTGGTGCAATAGCAGCAACCGGTTCCGTAGTGCTATTATTGGAATTTCCTGTAAATGATTGTACTCCATGGGGACCTGAAAGATGTCAATTGTGTGGGGGTGTGTCAAGTTAGATTTGATTTGAAAATCTCACCATAATATTCTGGTCAGTTTAACTATTTGAGTCAAATGATGTAGAACCAAAGAGAAGGCTAAAATAATCTAAAGAAATATATTACCAAAGATCATGTAAAGTATTTCCAAAATAGTTCTGGGTAATTTAATTTATAAGACTTAGAATAGAATAAGAAGTAGGTTGAAAGAAAAGAGAAGAAAAAAAAAAGCAGACACATTGAGTGTGTGGTTTTTTAGCATTATGAGCCTGAATTATTTTCAGTGGAACACCACTATTAATACGTAACAGATGAATAAAGTGTGCATGCATGTAAATATGAATCAGTGTATAAATAACTTAGTTACACCCTACAAGAAACAATTTTATAAAGATCTTAGACACACAAAGAGGCAGGAGCAAGCTTCATTTCCAGAAGCCTGTACAGACTCACCTGTGCAGGGAGCTTCCCAGCACTGGCAGGCTTACTGGTAGACCAGGCAAGTGTATGTGCTGAGCCACAGGCCACACGGTTGACCTTCTTACCCTGAAGAGCAGCTACCAACCGTGGCCTCTGGATGGCATTTGTGGTACCATCACCCAGCTGTCCCTCGTCATTGTCACCCCATGTATAAACTTCTCCTAGATGAAGTGAGTTTGAAATATGAATTTAGATGATGGGAGTTTAGTCCATGAAGCACTAAAAAAAAATGTACAATAGTAAAAATTTGATCCCAAATCATCATCATTCACTGCCCTTTCAAGTTCACATCTGAGACTGTGCTGACTTTGTAGATGACCTAGAAGTGGACACACTGATCATAAGGTCCCAGGGTGAGTGTTCTTCTGGGGACTTGTGATTTCCTCAGTAATTCTGTACCCATTACCAGCAGGGACAACTTGATGAAGGTGACTTCCACAGTCCACATCTTATTTTCCTTTCTAATTGGTATTTTGTGGGGAGCATCCAAAGCTATTTAAATCACTTTGGGTCTCATTCAACTTTTATCTGTTTATATCATGGCTTCCCTATTTATTCAAACTGTTATTATTACTTGTGATTTCATTTAATGCTCAAATTGCACCCAAGTTAGCTATTTCTGTCTCGTTTATTGACATTGTTAGATTGCTCTAACAGTCTAAGAATACCTGCTTACTTTATGGAACAATGTATTTTAGGTTCATCTTGTAAGTTCCTGGCCCCTATCTTAGGATTTGTATTTAGAAAAGGCACTCAGTGTCTTTAGAGAAGAATATTATCTATAAAAAAACAAATCTGGGTAATCTCCCCCAACTATTACTCCTGTTGCATCTCTTTGACTTTTCTACCTTCTTTTTCTGCTATGAAGGGTTTGTGTAATAACATGGGGCTCCCCTACATAATCCAGGATCATCTATTTCAAGGCCAATGACTTAGCAGCCTGAATTCCATCTGCAAAATTTTCTTTGCAATTGTATTAGGAAGAGGGCAAGACCACTCCTATTTTACTAATTCACTATGAACTAATAAAACTGAGCATACAGTCATGCTTATAGCTGTGACTACAATGCAGCCTAAAAGCAACAATAGGGGAAGGGGAAAATCTATTATAGGACAAGCTTCATTATTCCAGCAATAAGTTAAAAGAAGTGCTGTCTAACAGGGAAATTAATTAGAGACTCAACAGTCAGGGTTTTTACTGAGGCTAGTCATATAGTAGCACAAACCAAGATTACAGACTCCCTGGAAAGCAAATGTCTAGCATAAACTACATTTTTTGTACAAAGAATTCAGGCACCCTTAACCACTCAGAAAGGGTAAGGAACCCACCTGAGACCCAACTTCCCAGATATGAGAGCTGGCACATCCTGTTAGCAAGCCTTGAGAAGGACAGCAAGGATATGTAAACTCTTCTTTATGCATAGCCATAGAACAATGCACATTTGCATATGTAACACCAGGGAGTGATGATTAGAGGGGTCAAAGTTCTGCCTACTACAGGGGGATTGTTGGAAGATTTGTGACTGCACAGACCATACCCCTAAGCAATGCTCTATCTAAAACATGCTCCTCTTCAACAGTGGATGCTCCACTTACCGTCCTCTGTGCAGCACACACAGTGCAGGGAACCAGTAGCAATGGCAATGACTTTCTTTCCCTGTAGTCCTTGGACCTGCCGAGGTCTTCTAACATGGTCATCAGATCCATGGCCCAATCTGTGGTAGTCCCCTTTGCCCCTAACATAAAGAAGAAAACAGTGTGCTCAGAAGCACAAAGGTAATCTGTGTACCATCTATGCCCATGTACTCTATCCCAACTCTGGGATCTTTCTCATATTTAGTATACTTTATCAAAGAGATTACAGCCTGCCGTAAAAGCTGTGTTACAGTCTACTACATGTAGCTTTAAAAAATGTAAATTGAATTATCTGTTTTTGGTAGGATTAAAGTAACAAATTCCTTCATACCAAGTGTAAACTGCTCCCAACTTGGTAAGCGCGACAGAGAATTGGGATCCGCATTCCACTTTGACCACACCAAGGCCTGTAAGAGAGTCAATCTAGAATAGGAGAGACACAAGTGTCAGTAATATCATATTGACATTCCACCAAGGGCCACATGCTTTTGTGTAATGTGACCAGTACATAACCCTGGAAATTTAACATTTCACTGCTGAAAAAATATAAGCATTTCTCTCGGAAACTGACAGTGCTGTTGTGGTCCAACGCCTCTAGGTTTATATTCATCCTCACTTCAGCTATCTCTCATGAGTAGGGTGACCAAAGTCTATGAAGAGTGACCAGGGTCTGGTCTCCTACTGCCCCTTGCTCATCTGTTGGTTCACCTGTATGTTCATGAGTGAAGACCCTGTCCAGTGCGTAGGGTCTCAGTTGGAGCTCATTCCACCTGACATAGGGCAGATGTTCCTTGTCAACTCTGGGATCTTTCTCATATTTAGTATCCTAAATTTAAATTAAGCTTAAATTAACTAAAACCTAAAACGTAGTAAGTTCTTTCTTTGTCTCTTCCCTTCCATGAGGACGTACTGCTGATGTCCTCTATGCCTTCACAATATCAAACATCCAACCCTTGGAGGTTCATGGCCTTTGCACAAAGCCTCCTATAGCATAACAAGGCCTAGGACAGGCAATAACCCTTGGTAGCCCAGATGCAGTTAAAATATCATGTATCTGCAATGGGGCAAAAAAAAGAGCAAAGAAAAAAAATAGACAATGCCTTCTCATGGCACAGCCAAGTTGCATCTGTCAAAATAGCTCTGTAGTACTAATAAAGTATCTGTAGTACTAACTGTAGCCAACACAGTTAGTTGCCATGAGTCACATGTAGCAACGGAGCACTTGAAATATGGTTAGGGAACTGAATTTTGGCTTTATTTATTTTTAACAGAAGAAAACTAAAATTTCATGCTACCCACCCATAGGAGCTCTGGTGACCTAATGGTAAGAAGCTGTGCTGCAAACTCAAAACAGGTGGTTTATATCCACCAGCAGCTCTGCAGGAAAAATATGAGCCTCTGTAAAGCCGCAAGAGGGTCAGCTAGTTGGTTCTGACTCAATGGTAAACAACAACATGAGCGATAGCTACCATGTTTGGTAGCTCAGCTCTAGGAAGCAAAGCTAAGGAGGCTCAGAAATGGCTTCCATGCTCTGGTCTCAGGAGGCAGCTCAGGTGTGAGATGGCTTGACCATGCACAGATAGCTCAACATAGATGTGGCATTCAGAATGTGTGCCAGATAGTTCTCTACCTTTAATACCAACAATGAGGAGTCTTGCTGGGGAGAATTTTTAAGCACTCACCTGCTAAACAAGAGCTTAGAGGTTCCATCTCCTGGTTCCACAGAACAAACACCTGGCTGATCTGACTGTCTAACAGTGAAGAAAGTCCAAGGCTAGTTCCACATATCATATGGAACCAGTATGTCTCAAAGGCACCCAACAAACCCAAAAAGGCATGAGATTGTAGAAAAAGAGATTGTGTTCTAGTTTTCTACCCATATCCTCAAATCCATGGCAAATAACAATAACTAAGTGACCATTTAAGTGTTCACTTATGGAAGGCATTGAGCAGGAAGTTTAAACACACCATCTGAATATTCTGAAGAGAGTATGAGTCCTCCACTTTAACACAGAAAAAGGAGTCTGGCATAAGTTAAAAAAAATTTTCTTCAATTCAAACAGTGCAGGACTACCACATGTCCAAGCAAACTCTTAACCTCATGCTCACATGATCTCCCTGAGAGACAGTCTCCTTGTTAATCCAGATGTAATCCTGTTAGCAAGTACTACCACATTCCAAAACTATTTAACATGATACATATGCTATTCTGAAAAATGGAAAAAAGTGGAGAATGACTTGTAATTTCTGCCCAAACAAGTCCACAAACTAAATAGGACAACAGGCTTAAGCCAACATAAATTCTTCAAGATAACTACAAATATCTTTTAAAATATTTTCCTTCATGTTTATGTAGTCTAAGATACCCCTGATGCGTGCAGAGCCGCAACAACAACCCAGAAGGGAAGAGGTTCTCTTCCACATACCTGGGGACAAGTATACACTGAGGGCAAAGAAGGATCCAAGTGATGTTTGTCACCCATTCCACAAAGAACTCCAGCTGCCTTCTGGCCCACAGAGGGAACAAGGTGCTTTGTATACAGAAAATACCTTCATTGGCACTTTACAGCCATCACTGCCTCCTCTGCCGAGCTTGCCATAGTCGCCATCCCCCCAAGACCACACGGCGTCATCATCTGTGAGGCAGAGGGTCTGGGCATCACCACTGCCACAGGCAATATCAACTACACGGTGGCCCTGGAGGGCTTCCACCTGCAAGAAAGAGAACATCCTGGTTACTGGCCACAAAACAGAGAATGTACCTTTTCTTTTTACCAAAGGAAAGGTTCTAGAATTCTTTGTTATGAAGGTATCTGTCTTAGATCTTCAACAATATTTACAACATTTATTTGATGTATATGTAATACTTACAATCCTATAAAATGAAACAAAAATACTTACAATCCTATAAAATGAAACAAAAATGACTTTGTTTATTTGACCTATACTTGAGGGTATGCCATCAATTTCTGGGGCCTTGTTTTTTGCCAATTCTTTCAGAGCACCACAGGCTCTTGCTCATACGTTGTTTCATGAAATTCTTCTGTGCCTGACAATTCCTTTTGGTATAATAATCCTGTATACCCTTTCCATCTTCTTCTTCTTTTTTTTTTTTTACTCAACTTCCTTATTTACCATTATTTACTATCATTATCTACTTAGTATTTTTTTTTATTTTCTATGTAAGCAGTTAAAACTTATAATGGCAGAAGATTTTTCAGCCACACAGCAATTTAAGTCACAGAGTAATTTTAAAAACATACAAAATAATTCTACCAAGAAATATGTGAAATCCACAGGAGATATAAAAAGGTTGCGAATATATAGAGAAATTCATATTCTTAAACACAAAGCGTAGGAAATTTTCCATTTTTCTTTCATTAATTTGTAGTCTGTCACATCTCTAAATAATATTATAAGAGCATTTGACACAATTAAAATGAATTTAGAAATGAACAAAATTTCCTGGCTGTGTTTCACCTGTTTGCTTTCTTGGCTGTCCAAGGTTTGTTCAATACTCTTCTCCAGCACAACTCAAAGCCATCGACCCTTCTTCTATCACTCTTATTCACTGTCCAGCTCTAGGCATTGGATTCATGGGAGAGGGTAGCACCGCTGGCCTTTGAGAGAAGGACAGGGTTTTTTCATGGCATGTGACAAGAACAGAGAAGAAGGCTCTCTCCTGCCCTCTCACTGGGGAGTGAGGGGCACCATCTTCTTTTAATGCTTCCTGGATTACTTAATATTATGCCCAAAGCATCCTTAAGTATTGCAACTCTAGGCTTCAATTTGTTCTTCAGTTCCTCGAGCTTAAGAAACACTGAGCAAGTTTGGCCCCTTTGATTTTCTGACAGGAGCTCTTTGTACATTTCATTGTAATACTTTGTCTTTCCACGCTGCTCTTTGAAACCTTCTGTTCAACTCCTTAATATCTTGATTTCTTCCCTTTGCTTTGGCATAGTCTTCACAATCACTTGCTATCCATCAGAAAGCTGTACAATGACTAGGGATGAGAGGAGAATTAACGTCTTTGAGCTGCAGTGTTGAAGAAGAGTACTGAATATACCATGGAACAAACAGGTTCTTCCTAGGATTCTGAAGCTTCGTCTGACATATTTTGGACACGTTGTAAGGAGGGACCAGTTCTTCGAGAGGGATGTCATGCTTGGGAGGGTTGAGGGACATGGCAAGAGAGGAAGACCCTCAATGAGATGGACAGATTTAGTGACTGGGGTAATGGGGGTAGGTGTGTCAGAGACAATAAGATTGGTACAGGATAGAGCAGGGTTTAGGGCTGTTGTATATAGGGTTGCTATGAGTCACAGGTGACTTGAGGGCACATAACAACATCCTTGAGGGCATATAGCAACATCCAAACTAGCAGAGGCAGGTATGAGCATTCCCAACCATTAATCATAAAACACTATCAAAATTGACTTATTCACTGCAGTTTGACCCCAAAAAGAGTGGGGTTTTTAGAAGTCAAAGTGTCAAACACACTGTCAAATAATGGCTTTCTACTTTCAAAAAAGAATACTTAAAATTCTATTTAGGGATCTCTGGTGGCTTAGGGGTATGGAATCACACTGCTGATATAAAAGTTTGAATTCACCAGTTGCTCTGATGAAAGACAGGTAATCAACTTTGTGGGATTTACTGCCTCTGAAAACCCACTGGGAGGTCAACTGTGGGTTGGTTCTGACTCAATAATACACAACAACAAAATACTACTTAAAATGACCTATGAATATAGTGCAAACACAGTATTTATTTCCACCAAAAAGAAAACCTACTTATAAATAATGAGACCACAAATATTAACTCTAAATAACAAAAAATATCATCTAAATGAAAAATTTTAACTTATTGTTAAGAAAAGAATGCACGGAGAAATTCTTCTACACTCACACAATGGAAATATTATACAGCATAAGGAATAATGATTTCATAAAATATTATATAACATGGGAAAGTCTAGGTAACATTATGCTGAGTGAATTAACTCAGTATCTTCAGGACAAATAATGTATAAGATCATGATTGTAAAAAATATAAGAATAACTGAGCAAGATGTGAATAAATGTTCAAAAGGGGACAGGAAAGGGAGAACGAGGTGGAAAAAAGGAAGAAGAGAAATCATTAGCACAGCAGAGGTTAGTGGGTGCATGGGAGGGTAAAGGAATAGGAAATATTCAACAAAGACTTGAAAAGAGGTAATAATAGGAATAGATCAATTGTAATTGTTTAAAATATAATGTATATGAATGTATAAAACATACATGCAAGAACCACAATGTATATTAATTATTGTATGCAAAACAAAAACACTAAAAGGGATAAAAATAATACACATAGCAAAAAATACAACAATTTAACAGTTTTAAGTATACCACTTGTTGACATTGACTACATTCTTTCAGGTGAGAAATCACTTTCTCCTTCCTTTTCTGCATTGTTCCTATCCCATTAATATAAATTCATTATCACATAAGATTCAAAGGGCCTAGATTCATAGTGGCCTAGTCTTTGCTAACACAAAGACACTCTAATTTAACACAAAGGCACTCTGGCAGTTCGAATCTATAAGCTGCTTTGCAGGAGAAAGGCCATCTCCTCTCATGTGATTTTTAACCACAGAAAACCTAATGAAAAGTCAGTAAAGATTGGGTAAGCACAGTTAACAAAATCCAGATAATACAAAGAAACAAGGAAGCCCTGATGGCTTAGTGGTAAGGAATTGAGCTGTCAATGCAAAGGTACACAGTTTGAATCCACCAGCTGCTCTTCAGGACAAAAGATGGGCAATCTCCTTCTATGTGATTTACTGCCTCTGAAAACCTGCTGGAGGTAGCTAGGGGTCAGTTCTGCCTCGATGGTATACAACAACACAGAAACAAGGAGGCAGAAAACAGTGATAGCCTATCACTGACCAAGAAAGACCACTGGGCCAAAGATGAAGACAATATACTGGCAAGAGCAAGTGGTAAGAAAAGAAACTTTATATCCAAGGTACTTCTTCAAGGTAGTACATGTGCAGAAAATGGGTAAAGTGCAAAAAAACTGATCTTCTCCTCATCATAATATTGTAAGATCACTGAGGAAAGACAGAACCCAGTTCAGGTCACGACAGACAGTTTATTGAGGAGACTGTTGGGCTGGCTCTTAAGCAGGCCCCACTAAAAGTAAAAGATAGGTTTTATATTGTCTTATAAGAAAACTGGGGAGGGGGATATTCACAGATGTTTTTTAAAGATAGGGAAGTGGGCTGGGGTCTCAGATAACTGTATCCGGCAAAGGAAGTAGAGCAATTTCACATCCTTAACAGAGACCAACAGCCACAGCTGCTGCTTCCTGTGATTGGACCATTCTAGAAAGGAAGGAAAGGGCTTTGCAGACCTAGTAAATAACAAAAAAAAAACCCCAAAAAAATCACTCCCACAGATGCCAGGATAGTTTACAAAGACAATGGAAATAACTATGTTGGGACCCAGAGGACCATACTAGGATCAAAACATTTGGGTATACACACGGTCACTCATCTTAGTAGGAAAGATGAATAGTCAGCACCAAAACAAGTATATCACTCACCTAGCTTATATATTTACTTAAGTTCTGTAAAGATTGAGACCTGACATCTCCATAAGGCCTATTCGTCTACACTTAATAAACTCTATAACTTTCCAGTCAAATCTGAGTTTTCTTCACTCCTCTTGTTAAGCACTGGGTCCCACTTCCCTCTTCTCCTCTCCCTCATCTCTTCCTGGCTCACTTATTTAGTCAAGTAGGAGAGAACAGCACCTTGAGCAAACTGTAGAGACAACAGTCTGAAGTTTAGAGATTATCTTAGGCATCAGGCATTTTCCAACCTTCATGTTACCAGAATGTATGGTGTCAATGAGGATTTGAAAATTTATTCTGCATTTCTCCCCCTCTTTATTAGGATTCCCATATGAACTCTTTCATCAAAACTTTTAGTAACTGTCATCAAGAACCATACAGTGGCCTTATGGCAAAAGAGACAGCTGTTCATGGAGACAATTAGCCACACATTCCACATCATCCTTTTATTCCTGATACTCCTTCTTCCTCTTGGTCCAGGCAATTAGAAGGCAATTGATAGTCCTTGGATAATTTAAGACCCTGATACTACGCAAAAAAAACTTAGGAAGTAGAACATAAGCAATACTGGGACAAACCAACTATGAAATCCCATGAAACCATGGCTCTTAACCTCTAAAATAAGAAAGTAAATTGTATGAGGAATTTGGCAGTATATAAGGAGCATCTGCAGCTACACTCTGTGGTGGGTTTTTTTTATTTTATATATATATATTTATTTATCACACAACTTTACCAATTCAACTTTTTGCATGTGTACAACTTACTGAGAACAAATGGCTTTGCAACTGGCTACCCTTACACCATGTGATCCTTCTATCACTTGTCAACCCCTTCCTTCCATCTTCACTCTCAACCCTGGGTAACATATACAAACACCTTGGTTTTTATAGATCTGCCTTTTCTTGTCTTTTTACATAAGTGAGGTTATACAATATTTGTCCTTTAGTGATTGACTCATTTCACTCAGCATTAATGTCTTCAAGATCCATCCATACACTGGTATTTCTCCTATTAGTTGAGTAGTATTGCATAGTAGGTACCACATTTTGTTTCTCTATTTATGCACTGATGGGTATTGAGGTGGTTTCCACCTTTGGCTATTGTGAAGGATGTGGCAATGAACAATGGTATACAAGTCTCTGTTTTTAAGTCTTTGGGGTATACACTTAGGAGAAGAATTACTTTATATGGTTATATGCCAGTTGCTCTGGTGGCACAATCAATATGGCTGCGCTGCTAACCAAAAGGCCACAGTCTCCAGCAATTCAAATCAACCAGCTGCTCCTCAAGAAAGTCTCAACATTATTGGGTTAATAAACTTGAAAGGGGAAAATCACAGGGTTACACAATGTGGTGGGCAGAGGGAGTTTTTTCCCTTTACGGAAATGGTGAAGATACGATGGAGACCTGAAAGACGAGGTAATGATGGGCATAAAACAATGGGTATTAATTTTATAAAACATAAGGAAATGATTATATAAAACACAATGTGATTAAGGAAAGTATGAAACACAATGTATACAAATTTTGTATGAAACTAGTACGAAAAAAAACCTCTCTCTTTCTCTCATACACACACACAATCTATAAAATTGGAAACCCAATAATGGAGTGTTGATTTGAGTCAGAACAGACCCAACAGAAGCAGTAAGGTGCTGTTTATCTGTCTGGTGTTTGCTTTTTTCTCTTTTTGTTATGGCAGATATAGTTTAAGTTTTTTTGGGAACTATCACACTGTTTCCCACAATAGTTGTAAAACCCAGCTATGGGTTAAAGGCTCCCATTTCGTCACACCCTTTCCAATTCACTTTAATCTCAGTCATTCCTATCATCAGTGTTGTAAAATTGGCTCCAACTCAAAGAAACATTATGTACAAAAGAATGAAACCCTGCTCCATCCTCATGGCAGTATCATAATGAAGGTTTGACCTGCATTCTTTTAATGGATAATGACACTAAGCATTTTTTTCATGCATTTGGTGGTCAAATGTCTTCTTTGGTGAAGTATCTATCTAAGTCCTTTGCTTCTTTGATGTGTGGGTTATCTGTCTGTTGTTACTGTCAAAGCTTTATATATATTTTGTTTTATCAGGTTCTTGTTGAATACATGGTTTAATTTCCCAGCCAGATTATTTTTTCACTTTGTTGGTAAGGTCTCTGAGTTGACAAAAACTTAACATTTTTAAGAATTCCCATTTATTTCTTTTGTCTTTTGTGCTTTTGTACTAGATTAGACAATATACTGTTAACAGCAAATATTTCTAACTTTTAAAAATTCTAATAAAACAACAGGTCCCTTCTTCCTCTACCTTTGCAATCACCAACCAACACACATTAGGTGGTGCTTTATATAGTAAAGGGAAGGGAAGCCACTCTAGCAATCTGAATACAGGCACACTTACCAACTTTGGCTTCAGTTGGTCTTCACTATCACTGTGCCCCAAGCGGCCGTATCTGCCTTTGCCCCATGTGTAGAGGTCTCCAGCAGCTGTGACAGATGCACTGTGGGCTCCACCTGCAGCAATATCAATCACTTCAATTCCTCTCAGAGATTCAATCACACGAGGGCGATCACATGGGCTGCAAAAAAAGGCATCACACACATAACTAAAATGAAGTTGTATTTTAAACTTAATTAACTTTATAGTTTTAGGTTTGCTGCTCATTTATTCAATATACCTTTGCAACGTACATCTCCCAAATCCATAAACTACTAAATCAATGAATTTAAAAAACTCATGGAGGCTTGAACTCAAAATGTCATCATTTCTTACCTACCTGTGGGGCTCAGGCAGTGAAGTCACTACAGAGTTGTGCTGATAACTCAAAGGCAGTACAACTAGCAGTTTGAATCCACTGTACAGAAAAAAAGAGAGACAATCTCCTCCTGTGTCATTTAGTCTCAGAGAAAACCCAACGGAGGGTCACCTATTAATCAGTTTTGACTTGATGGCAATGAGTGAGTTTTATTTTATGAAATAATAGTACCCTACTGTGCTTGAGATAGGAAGCAGGATGAAACATCGATTTCCTAAATAACAGGCCTCTGAAAACCCTATGAAGACTAAAGAAAGAGGACCGTTATAGCAGTGTAGGAGTAAAACCTAAATTGGAAGTCAGCTGAAATGAGGAAAAACAGTAACAAACATTGTTTAATAGTTGGAACATGGAATGTACATAGTTTGAATGATGGAAATTTGCAAATTGTTAAAAATAAAATGGAATGCATGAATATCGATATAGTGGAATCAGTGAAATGATAGGGACCAGCTTGGGCCACTTTGAATCCGTTCATATGGCATGATATGCAAGGGAATGAAAAAGAGAGGAAGAATGGTGTTACAGTCATAGTGAAAAATTCAATTTCAAGTTCTAGCCTGAAATACGAAGTGGTGAGTGATAAAATAATATCCATATGCATAGAAGGAAGACCCATTAACATGACTATTATTTAAAGATACCCTCCTACATCTAGAGGCAAAGAGGAAGAAAGTGAAAATTTTTACCAAATCTAGCAATCTGAACTGACCAAACATGATATCAAGATGCATTAAAGATAAATGGCGACTGGAATGCAAAACTGGGAAACAGTGAAGAAGGAATAGTAGTTGAAAAATATGGATGTGGTGGATAGAAAGGAGGCTGGGAAAAGAATGATCTAATTTTGTATTTACAGTGATTTATTCATTGCAAATACCTTTTTTATTTTTTCCTACTAGTTTGTTTTAAAACTCAAATACAAATTTGAACAAATTATTTCAATTTCACTCCTACCCCCATCAAATTGTACAAACTGATGATTAATTCTCCCCTCCCCCTACACACCCACATCTTTCTGCTTCCAGCCTATCCCACCCCTCCTGGATCCTTATACTCAAACTACAATAATGGTTTTCTACAATATTGATCCTTGTGGGATTGAGTTAGTTCACTCAGCATAATGCTTTCCAGTCCCTTCCAAGTTAGGTTGCTGTTGTTGTTATGTGCCGTCGAGTCATTTGCGACTCATAGCGACCCTATGTACAACAGCCCTAAACCCTGCTCTATTCTGTGCCAATCACATTGCCTCTGACACACCGATCCCAATTACCCCAGCCACTGAATCAATCCACCTCATAGAGGGTCTTCCCCTCCTGCGCTGTCCCTCTACTCTACCCAGCATGATGTCCCTCTCTAAAGACCTGTCTCTCCTTACAACATGTCCAAAATATGTCAGACAAAGCCCCAGAATCCTTGCCTCCAAGGAGCAGCCTGGTTTAACCCTCTCTACGATGAATCTGTTTGTTTTCTTGGCAGTCCATGGTACATTCAATACTCTTCTCCAGCACCACAGCTCAAAGACGTCAATTCTCCTTCTATCCTCCCTAGTCACGGTCCAATTCTCTGATGCATAACAAGTGATTGCAAAAACCATGGCCTGTATCAGGCGCACCTTAGTCTCCAGAGAGACACTGTTGCTCTTGAGTACTTTAGAGTGGTCCCTAACCGCAGACTTTCCCATCGCAATACGTTTTTTTATTTCCTGGCTACTGGTGCCAAGAGTATTGACCGTGGAGCCAAGCAAACTGAAGCTGTGAACACTCTCAATCTCTGCGCCATCCATCCTGATGCTACTGATTGGTCCGGTGGTGAGAATTTTTGTCTTCTTGACATTGAGCCTCAGTCCATACTGAAGGCTGCAGTCCTTGACCCTCTGCAGTAAGTGCATGAGATCCTCCTCAATTTCAGCAAACAAAGTTGTGATTGTTGATAGATCGTCCACCGATCCTAACGCCACACTTCTCCTCATAGAGCCCAGCTTCTTGGATAATCTGCTCTGCATACAGGTTGAAAAGGTATGGAGATAGGACACATCCCTGACATACACCCTTCCCAATTTTGAACCATGCAGTGTTGCCCTGCTCTGTTCTGACGACTACCTCTTGGTCCAAGTATAGGTTTCGCATTAGCACGATTAAATGTTCTGGGATTCCCACTCTTCTCAGAGTCAGCCACAGTTTGTTATGATCCACACAGTCAAATGCCTTTGCATAATCAATGAAACACAGATAGACATTCTTCTGGCATTCTCTGCTTTCAGCTAAGCTCCATCTAACATCAGCTACAATATCCCTAGTACCACGACCCCTTCTAAACCCAGCCTGAACTTCTGGCAGTTCTCTACTGATGTACTGTTCCAGTCGTCTCACAAGCTGAGACTAGGCAACACAGAGGACTCCAACAATAGCTTCTGACATGCCTCCAGGTAACAAGCCACAAGGTGGAGCCTAAACCGGTTGGGCCCTCGGGCCAAGAAGGAAAACACAATCTATACAGGAGTTATACAGGACACATCACCTTCCTTCAGAGACAGTACAAGTAAACTTAAGAGACAGTGGACACATACACACACACACACAAATCTCTCTGACAAGCTGTCAAGTCATGGGTCGGACAATGGGACATTAATTCTGAAGGCATTTGGTAGAAGTGAAGTGGTAATCTGCTGGAGGGTGGAGCTGTGAAATAAGTGTGTCAGGGCACTGGGCTAAGGGCAGGGACTACACCGTAACTAATGGTCAACTCCAAAATGAGGGATTTATCTTTCACTACTCCACAAATTGCTGTCTCTCAGATACTCCTCTAGGTCTAAACATTCAGATAAAGACAGACTAGGAAGAAGGATTGGCCATCCACTTCTGAAATGGCAGGCCTCTGAAAACCCTATGTACAACACAACACACATAGACGAACAGAAAGGGCAACCTACAACACACATAGATGAACAGAAAGGGCAACCTACGTAGAACTGTCAAGCATGGAAATACAAAGGAAGAGGAACAGTTATAAGCAGACACTAGTAATTGGAACATGGAATGTGAGAACCATGAATGTAGGAAAATTAGAAATTGTTAAGAAAGAAATGGAACACATAAATATTGACAAACTAGGCACTGGAGAGATGAAATGGACTGGCATGGGGCATTTCAAGTCAGATGATTATATGATATATTATTCTGGAGATGAAAAGGTGAGGAAAAATGGAGCTGCTTTCATAGTAAAAAATGAAATTTCTAGGTCTTTTGAAGTACAACATTGTGAGTGATAGGATTATATCCATATGCTTACAAGGAAGTCCAGTGAACACTACTATCATCCAGATATATGCACCAACAACCAGAGCCAAAAAAGAAGAAATAGATGATTTCTACCAACTCTTACAGGCAGAGATAGATCGAACATGC